TTTTTGCAACCAAGAGTTTGGCAAGTTGTTAGACAGGATGTCCCAAGGGGTGATGTCGCAAGGGCATCTTTCGTACATTGCTTCAGCTCTCATCCTCATATGAAAGAAAATGTTAGTTACATTTTGTTGCTTTTTATGAATGAATATACTATGGTTGAAAAGACAAAATATACACGGTGTTAACTAGAAAATTGAGGAACAAAATATATTTGTCATAATATCAAAATTTATGGAGAATATCATAGTTGGCCCAAAAAATTGTATGCACAGTGCATCCATGCGTATGCCTGATTATGCCCCTGCTCTTTGAAGAAATGTGCATTGTACTTGAAATCCGATGCAATGCAATTTCTAGATGAGGTATTGCGAAAAAAAGGCAGATGACTTTTTCAAGCTGTGCAGGGTAGAAAGGACTTGCCAAGTCTCCAGCCAAGCTCTATCTTGAATAAGAACAAGTTTAACCGTCCAAACAGAATACCATTGGCAAATGAATCAATCACTGTTGTCGCAGACAATTAAAGCGGGCCCAAGACTTGCATAAAAGTGCTGGAATACCATTAGGTCCTTGTGGTGTCCCTGAAATTATAAAGTTTCAGTCATATTTGAGTGATTATCAAATATCTGTTTTCTGGAGATCACTTTATGAATTTAATTCATAAAGCTTTGAAGGAATTGTTTTTATTTCATCATAAGAGTCATTATGATGTCATAACTTCAGTAACAGGATTCATGTGTAGGATGTACTACTGTACAGAATGCAATATAGGTTTTGATCACATTTGTGATCATTCATGTGAAAAATAATGCGAAACGGGTAAAAGAGATTTGTCATGCACTTTTGAAACATGGCGTCATCGCGATGATTGTAACAGAAATATCCTCTCGGACTGTTGTTTTTGCAATCATAATTGTGCTGTGCTGGAAATTGGTAAATAGTCTGTCTGCAAACAGTTTACTCGCTGTAAAAAGTGCGCCAAATTTGTTCATCATCGACGAAAGGAAAAACACAAGTGTTTCAAAAAGGTGGAATGTATGCAGTGTCTTGGTTGTGAGAAAAAAGAGAAAAGTCGGGTGTCTTGTCAACTGCCAATAGTTTAGATGACATTCAAATTGTGCAGCATAGTAAAGGTGGGAAGCCTTATGTGACATACTCAAAACCCACTGCAATCAAAGAATACAGTGACAATTACAATGGTGTAGATAAGTCAGATAAAAAAATGGTGAAAATACATCTTCTGGCTTGTCCGAGATGTAAGCATTGTAAATGCTTACATATTGTATCTAGAAGCCCAAGACGGTCCTTGCTTAAAGCCAATGGGCCGAATGAATAAAAAATAGTATTTACTACCAAGCAAAAGTAAAAAGTAAAAGCATGTTCTCATAAGATTTTAGCAAGAGCATAAGGCAAAGCTTGAAATCATATGAATAAACTTTACCTTACACTTCAAAGCATATGCTTTCACTTTTTAAGCATTTGCTTATTCTAGAACATGGTTAGGAGCTCATTCAAGTGGGGAAATTCAGCATTGGTTTAGCCACAAAACGACGCGCACCATCCACCATCACATCTGAGGATATCGAAGGTGAGGGAAGCATTAGGCATATTCCTTACCCACAACCAGTGGCAAGCAGCTCGCGGGAACCCCAGACCACTCATCTGGAGAGACGATCTCTACAGTCAGCTCACCCTTATCTGCCGCCACCACCGCCAAATAAAGCCAAACTACCAGAGAGTGAAGAGACCAACAAACTGTCAACCACCAAACTTCACTTATTGAATTTTGAACTTTCCGGTTCAAAGGACAATTCTACTAGGTACATGCAGACTGATCACTCCTGAACAGAGATGTCAGAAGCAAAGCAGAAAACCTTTGTTGCATTGCTTAAGAAGATGCCTGTTCTTCTGAATAAATCTCAAATCCCCAGTATGAAACAGGAGAAGTCTGATGCACGTGAGAAGTTTATTACGTCTTACAAATTAAAAAGTGGAACATCACTAACTAAGGAACAGCTCATGAAAAAGATTAACAACATGGGAAATACCGTCAAGTCTAAATCTGACAAAAAATAAATAAAGATTATTGCATGGCCATAATCTGCTTTATCATGATAAGATTAAAACCCGAGTCGCTTCCTACAGCTGCCGCTGTCCATAATGTTATGTAATACTTAACATACTTANTCCTACAGCTGCCGCTGTCCATAATGTTATGTAATACTTAACATACTTACGCAACCATCCAATCGCGACGCGAAACTTAATCACGTGAGCAGAATTTCCAGAGATGACAACAACAACACATGCAGAAGGCATTCGTTAGATTGCAGCCGAGCAACTCGCACGAACCTCCAAATACGCCATCGCAGAATTTGCTTTCATAGCTATTGTTAGAAGTCAAGGGTAAGTTACTACCTGTTTACTTGCTTTTTTACAACCGCTTTCTACGGCCGCTATAGGGCACTAACTAGCGATTAGCGTAAGACTAAGAGTAATGAGATAGATAAAATATACCGAATTACTATGAGGCAGATTCTGTATGTACTAAGTGTACAGAGCGGTAGTACGGCAAAATATTTTAGTTCGAGGTTAGAAGATGACTCGATAGGTACACTCAGGCTAACTTTATATAGTGCACGCAATAATCTTAAGTTCTAAGCACTCGTATCTGAGCGGCATAACTTTCTCAACACGAGTAAGATTCAAGATGGCGGCTTCAAAAATAAGCGACGTAATATCCTCCACTTACAAACAAAGCGTAAGTTTAGTTAAGTTCAGATAAGGCATCAATGATTTTAACGTCATATGCATTGAGAGCGCTACTATTTATTGAAGCACTCGTATACAGCTGAGCGACATAACTTTCTCAACACGAGAAAAGATCCAAGATGGCGGCTCCAAAATATAAGCGTCGTAATATCTTCCACTCGAAAAGCGTAAGTTTAGTTAAGTTCCGATAAGGCAACAATGATTTTAATGTCATACGCATTGAGAAGCTACTATCTATCGATGACGGGAGAAGTAGTCAGCTTATTACATCGTACACCATCTACAGAATCCCCCCCGCTTGAACAAGACACAGGACCTTCAGGCTACACGGCGCCACTGGTCTCACTTAAATAATCACTAATTACTTCCATATGTCTTAGGCTCATGCTGCATCTTTGATGACTTCACACTATCGGAAGCTGTTTATTATTCCACACTATAGATTTAGGGTACTTAAGTCAATGTCAACATGCGGGAGCGGTACGTTTTCCAATTAACTTCCCCCCCCCCCCTTCCCCCACACTCGTTTCTATATTATATTAAGCCATACCACATTTTACAGCTGATACAATGTTGGCTCTACCCTAGTGTATCATATTTCAGAGTCTTATATTGCCCCTACTTTTACCACCATGAAAATACTGATAGCTGGCCATAGTCTCATTAAGAGATTAGAGCATGAGTCCCCCAGCAACCTCAACCTAGATCCAGGCACCTTCCAGATTGAATTCTACGGCAAAGGCGGGGCCCAGCTGGACCACTTTCTGACCAAAGATGATTTCCTGGAGAGAACTCAGAATAAGGATCTCATCTTTTTCCAAGTGGGGGGCAACGACGTCAGAGGCTCTCCTTATGACATCAGCAGAATTGTGGACAAGGTTTCAATGCTGACCTTAAGGATACTAGAAGTCAACCCCAAGGCAGTTATCATATGGGGACAGCTCCTCTTCAGAGCCACTCCAAGCTGTGGCTACCTGCCAACCAAGACGGATGAGGACAGATACAATACATACATTATAAGAACCAACGAGGCCCTTAAAAAATTATCTAAGGAAGAGGGCAACATGTACTTCCTGCGTCATGTGGGGGCAACCAGAAACTGGAGAAGTATACTGAAGGGTGACGGAGTTCACATGAACGAGTCCGGTAATATTATGCTGTGGAGATCCATCAGAGGCGCTATTCTCACCACAAATAAGAGTAAGTAGGTAAAATCGAACCACCGCAAGGGGCTACTTACACATGCAGAGGCAACTAACTTTACTTTGGCTCTAGAGCAGGGTCGCAGTCAGCCAGACAGTAGTTTAGCATAGGGCCATAGCTTTGAGGCCGCTTTGAATTAGGAACACTACTTACATTGACTAGGGAGCATTTAGTATAACATAAGATATAAGCATTACGTAGCAACGGGTCTCACGATAAGCTACCTCCCTAACACGCTAATAACAAGGACTTGGGCTCCAGTTAATAGCCGCTTTCAGAAGGCCTTCATCACAGTAGTATTAGCTGCTAGGGCCAATTATTATTATTAATCATGGGCCACAAGCGTGAGCCGCTTTCTTAACCATGCATGTTGCAATGACTTGGGCTGCAGCGCGTAGCCGCTTTCAAATAGGTCACTATCACATTAATATTTACAGTAGACACTAAAGCCAAGAATGATAGGCAAAAGGCCACGAGCGCGAGCCGCTGTATTAAACATGCCATTCTCAATGACTTGGGCTGCAGCATGTAGCCGCTTTCAAAACAGTCACTACCGCATTAGTATTATAGCAGCTATTGGGATTTCAATATTATAGGCAAAGGGCCACAAGAGTGTGCCGCAGTCTTATCCATGCTAAATTGCGACGAATTTTGGCTACAGCATGTTGCCGCTTTCAGTTTATGACTACAGCATAAATATCAGCCACTAGGGCCAACAGAATTATTGGCAAGAACCCTAGTTGAGTGATGCTATATGCACACATGCTAATTAAAATTTCTTAGGCTAAAGCTGATAGCCGTTCTCAGTCATTAAAAAATTTATATTTAAAAAAAAAAAAAAAAAAAAAAAAAATTAAGAATATTATAGCATGAATCTTAGAATTTCCTTCTTCTTCCTTTTGAGCTGGCAGGGCTCTTCTATTACTCTTATCTCTGCCATACGGAGTCTAGACTTTCTTTCCTTTATTTTAGAACTTGAGAATGGAACAACCTCCAGGCCTTCCGACTCTAGGGGAGGCAGTATACTGGGCCATGACACCAGGACCCAGCACCCCATACAACACTTGCCCACCTCAAACAGCACATGTAGGACCCAGCAGCACGGGGAGCGCACCCCCCAGCCTCTACACCATCAGTGCAACCCCACTTCAGACGGCAGGGCCCAGCACCACATCAGAGCTAAGCAGCACGGCGAATTTGACACCCAACCTCACCAGCGTGCTGTCCACAAGACCAACAGCCATGACGGCAGCTCCAACAACGCCAGGCAGTACAATCCAAAGCTCAACCGGGACACACGCAAGCCAGCAACTGCCTCGCCCTCCCCAACCCCTCTCCTCTCCATTAAATTCTCTGGGCCACCACTACTTTCATCAAACAGGAAGTACCCCAGCCCCCTATGCCCAAGCCCAGCAAACCACCCCATATGGAGCAAACCCACCTCACTATTATCCCTGCCATATCCCCCAAACAAATCCGCCTCCTCCCACTCAGCTGGTCCCGAACAATGGAAACCCCCATCCCTCCTCTCCCTTTCCATATCCAGGCCCACCTCCTTCCCAACATTTACTCAATCCAGAGCGGCCACACCAAAGCCTGCCCGCAAACTGCCCCATGTTACAGAACAACACCCCCCATCTCTCCTCACACTCCCATGCCCCCCAAAGTTTGCCCCACCAAAACATGCCCCTCCCAAACCAGACTTGTAGCCATTCATGGCCACAAGACGCCGGACAAGGAAATCATGCCCCAGGTAAGAAAATACCTAAATCCAGTATTGACCACCATGTGAGCACAAAATTAAGAAACAAAATTTGGGAAGATGAATTTGTAAATTTACGCGAACTCCTCCCCCCTGATACAAATTTATCAAACAACAGTTCAGAAACCTTCCTCCCCCAGGCCGAAAGAAACGACGAAGGTCATATAACCATGACCTTTTCCCCTTCTCCTAAAATTAGTGACCTGTCCCCATTGCAATGGTGCCGTGCTTGGCAGATTTTCACTGCAATATACCTACAAAGATTCCCCTCCCAAGCCATCCCCCTTTCCGTATATGCCCATAGGGTTATCACCCTTTTCACCAGCAAGGTAGCTAGCTGGAAATCGTATGATGAGAAATTTAGACTAAAACGGGCCAGTGAGTCCATAAAATGGGAGGAGGAAGACCCAGTTGTTTATGGGCACTCTTTGGGCACTCCAAAATTAGAAAATTTTCGTCCCCAACAGGAAACCTGCAACAACTACAACAGAGGAAAATGCTACCTCGCAAGGTGCAGATACCTGCACAAATGCCTCCTCTGTGGGAAGGACCACCCATTATCATCTTGCTGGTCAGCCCCCCGAAGTTCACCTCCATACCAAAGGAAACCCAACCACTTCCCCCCTAGCAAAGCAAAAATTTTCAGACCCAAATTCAACAAAAAATTTGCATAACCCCCTTCAGGCCATCATAAAAATCAACAAACCCTCCTGCCACGTTCCCCATGACATAGTAACCCCAGTCAACCACCTTGTTTTAAAAAATTTGTTGACGGGGTATGACTCACATATTTCCAAATTTTTAGTTGAAGGATTTAAAGGAGGATTTATCATCCCCTTTCAAGGCGAATTACCCCATTCAACCACTCCCAAATTAAATAAACCTGAAAATTTCGAAAAATTATTGGAGAAAATAGATGCGGAAATTAAAGCAGGACGCATAGCAGGCCCTTTTTCAATACCTCCTTTCCCCTTCTTTGTCACGTCCCCCGTATATGTTGTTCCCAAAAAGACCCCAGGAAAATTCCGCTTCATCCACAACCTTTCTTCCCCAAAGCACTCCTCAGTTAATGATGGAATTGATGACACATTTGCAGCCGTTTCCTATGCTAATGTCTCAGACGCCATACAATTAGCAAAATCCATAGGGAAGAATGCATACCTGGCAAAAACAGATATTGAAAATGCTTTCAGAATTCTCCCAATCCACAAAGATTACCGTTTTCTATTGGGGTTCTCCCTTCAATCGAAATATTATTATGATAAAAATCTACCCATGGGACTCCGTTCAAGTTGTCAAAAATTTGAGACTTTCAGTACCGCCATAGAATGGATTGCAAAAAACAAATTTCACATCCCACATATCCTTCACTTACTGGATGATTTCCTCATTTTGGCCCCTACCAAAGAGGAATGCCAAAACCGATTGGACCGTTTCATTGGTCTTTGTCAATCCCTAGGGGTTCCCCTAGCCCCGGAAAAAACCACCAGACCAGCCACAATTATTTCATTTGCTGGCATAGAATTGGACACATCAATGCAAGAAGCCCGCTTACCGCCTGAAAAGATTCAGAATGCTTTAGATCTGGTCCGAGCCCACATATCCAAAAAGAAAATAACCCTTCATGACCTTCAGTCGATCATAGGCCTCCTAAATTTCTGCTGCTCCATTATCCCTGTCGGGAGGGCCTTTTTACGCCGCCTCATTAATTTAACAATCGGCACCACTCAACCCCACTTTAAAATACGCCTTAATAACGAAGCCCGGGCCGACCTCTCCATGTGGAAATTGTTTTTACAATCCTTCAATGGGCGAGGTTTTTTCTATGATGATGACTGGCCTAGGTCCCCAACAGACTGTGTCTTCACAGACTCATCTGGAACACATGGATTCGGAGCAATTTTGGACAAAAAATGGTTTTCTGGACTTTGGCCACACCAGCTTAAAGACCTCAACATTGCTATTTTAGAACTTTACCCTATAGTCCTGGCCTTCTTCATATGGGTAGAACAATTGAAAAACAAGAACATTACAATTTTTTCGGACAATGAAGCTCTAGTTTTTGTCCTTAACAAATGCACTTCCAAGGATAGGTGCATCATGATCTTACTCAGGAAACTCATTTTACATTGCTTAGAGAACAATATCAACTTCCGCGCCGCACATATACCAGGCGTGGAAAATTGCGCTGCTGATGCCCTATCTCGTTCTAATCCCCAGGAATTCAGAAGATTGTGCCCCCAAGCAGACCTTCACCCTGCCCACATACCTGCAACTTGGGGGCTAGAAAACTGGCTGAAGATTTAGATAGTACCTTGGAAGCTGCTCTCACCAAAAACACCAGGAGGACTTACAGCAAAATCAATACCCTTTTGGATGAATTCACTCAAAAAACTGGACTCAAAGCCTTTCCCGCTGACCAAACCGTCACAGCATTGTTTACCCAATTCCTCAGTGAACGTTACAAGCCCTCATCCATCAGGACTCATCTCTCTGCTTTAAGCTATAAATACAAGATGGAAAACATAACGGATCCAACCTCGACCTTTCTAGTGAAACAAACAATCCAGGGCTTAGAGAGGAAAAACCCCTCCGGTGACACGAGGTCCCCAATAACATTATCCACTCTAAGCTCTTTAATCGCAAGTTTACAAGGATGTGCAGAATTCGAAAAATTCCTCATTGCAGCTATGTTCACACTTTCATTCTTTGGGCTATTGCGCATTAGCGAGATCGCGGCAAGCGACGCAAATCACGCTCTCCAACTTCACAATGTTAATATTAATCAGACTGAAGGCATTATAAATATAAGATTACCTTCTTTCAAACACTCGAGCCATAACTCTAATCACTGCGTTACAATTCGGAGACAAGCTGGAGATATATGCCCAGTAAAGTGGATTTCAAACTATGCCGCTGTGCGCCCAAAGACAGCAATCACACAGTTCTTTGTACATCCGAATGGGTCGGCAGTCCGCTGCACGGACTTTAATAAATACTTAGAACGTTGCATCAGAGCGGCAAATCTCTCACATCTCCGCATCACTAGCCATAGCTTCAGAATAGGGGGAGCAACCCTCGCTGCCAGCATCGGCATGTCCGAAACTCAAATTAGACTATTAGGGAGATGGAAATCGGATGCCTACAAAAAATATCTAAGATTTTGAACTCTACTTGCATTTTATGACATTAGCGTATGGATATCTCAGAATATGAACTCTGCTTACATGCTATAGCACTATCATAATTTGACGGTCATGTTCCTCGAACCTCGGTCCAGGGGTCTGGGTTCAAGGAACTTTATGTTCAATGCAACTAACATGGGTTAAGTTTAAGTTGTTTGGATATAGTTAGGACACATCTGCTCATTCCTCCATGACCTTCGGTCCAGGGGTCTTAGGCTATGGGGGATCCTTCGTGTTTTAGAATTTCATCATACTACTTTAAAAATATGATATGTTTAGTTCTTTATTATCACTTGTGAGAGACTATGTTAACACACAAGAACATTATTAAAAGTACTTTGTTTTATAAAAAATTATTGACTCTTATTATTATATCGCTTATTAAATTTTTT